GCAAGGCAAACTATTCGAAAAAAGTTTTTAAAGTGTAGGAATATTTTTGTACGTACAATGCTTGTCGTCTCGAAAACGCATAAATCCCCCAGATCTTGATGCTTATCAATAATCATCTTGCTGCCTTTTACATCTTCCTAAAAACTTCCATCATTGCAGTGGCGCATACGGCTTTTTACAAAGTGCGCATTTCGATGGTTGAGTTCATGTGTGAGGTACTTAACGAGCACTCCGACCATCGCTATCGTTCTGGCTCCAAAGACAGTCGCAACGGAAATGGGTCCGGAAACGTACGCAACGGAGCAACACGTGGGGGGCTACGTTACAATGGCACATCGTATTATTGCCGTTCAAGTGGGCAACGACGTGAAGGCAATTATCGCCGTGAAAATGTCGGAGGAGTCCTTTCTGTAATCACTTATCATTAATTTTTCTCATTGTTTTTTTGTCATTATCATCTCAGCTATTATTTTTGCCATCTATATCAGTTATCGCTCTCGATAATTTTTGAAATTATTTTTTTTTTGGTAATCACCGAAGTAAGCTGCATACATACCAAGAATATAAATACCGTACGAACAGCCTGTTTGAGGAACCATAGCTACCGGATATTCGATGACAAGTAATTATTATCCTGGAGCAGCTTGACTGACACTATCCCAAGAGTAGCAGTAAAGTGAAACGAACATATTAGTGGTAGGATCATTTAGTATATATAAGAACTAATAATTTTACCAAGATTAAGAAATTTCAGTCCACTAAACTGTATGCATCTTAACTCAGCACCACAAATGAGGGTATACCTCTCGATGCATTGCAGACTGTTCGATGCATTTGTGCTACCTATGTAGTTTACAAAAGAATCTTTTTCAGGGAGAGCATTAAGCTGCCTACTTCTTTGGCTTTTCTAATAATTTCATACAGTTAAAAAAACGGTCTCCCTGTGATCAAACTTTTGTTTTTTCTAGCGAACTTACACACGAAAATTTCCCAAAAATAAAAATAACGAAACGCTAATTTTTGCGGAACTAATTTTTTAAAAATGCTTTTTGATTTTCAGCCGGAAAAGCTGCACAAAAATTTCTCGTTGAGTAGCCAAGAAGCGAAAATATTCGGCGAGGCTGTAAGGGGAATCAAAGTACGCATTACACATCGAGCTGGCGTTGTGCGTGTTTATCGCGTCAACAGCTTGCAGCTTCCGGCCGACCAGCTTTGGTAAGAATTGTTGGCAGTCGTTGTTGACAACCATGGTAGCTGGTCGAAACAAACGTTCACTCGCAGTGAGGCACACTGTACATACGCTGAAAGCGGCGATTAGCAGCTAAAACACTCTCTGACTTAGGGAATTTGAGAATTTGTGCGCAGCTGCATTTCACTGAAATTCTTCAGTCGATAAAAGGAATAATTTTGTTACCAGATTTTTCAGACCTGACAACGACTAGGTTATGAGGACTATATATATATATATATATATATATCTGCATATCTACTGCTTATGTTTTGCGCAGCATACAACTGCCAAGCAAATTTTTGAAGTCGGGAAAATGGAATTTTTCTGCAGCATCTTAAAAATAGTAAATCGCAGTATCGGTCGTGAAACAGATTGCCAATTTTGGCTTCAACCATTTCGGAGAACCCAGTCGAGAGCTGGCCAGACCTTCGATGAGAGGATTTTTAAAGTTTCGATACAAAGCGGGATTGAGGATATTTCTCTTCCGCACGTTTAAGTATGAACGTTTAAAGAGCTTCAGCACTTTTTAGGTTTGAAGGCAAAGATGAAGAGGGGAACGAACGCCGAATGACAGTGGCTGATTACTTCGGCGAACGTTATGCTGAGCTGAAGTACCCGAAACTGCCCTGTATACATGTCGGCCCCGTGAACCGTAACATCTTCTTCCCGCTGGAAGTTTGCGTACTGGACACACCTCAGAAGTACAACAAGAAACTTAACGAGAAACATACTTCGGCTATCATTCGAGTATGAATTTTCAGTATTCATTGCCGTACATTCCAAAAACATTCTGATTTTCCAATTTCTATCCATGTCTTTTTATTTGGAAAATTTCCTTGTTGTTCAGCATATGTCCATTTTTAGATGGCTGGGTCTATCACAATGTTACCGTGATTCTCGCTCAAACGTTTGAGACTTTCTTAACTAACTTGGAACTCTCTGTCTCCTTGCTTCCACTGATTAACATGGTCTTCAAAACACCTTTTGAAACCCGTGCGAAGAGCAGCTTCCTTTCAAACAAAGAATTCTATCACTGTTAGAGATGTTAAACAATGACTCAGTTATGCAGTGATGATGCTCAGTTGTGAAGTATATCGGTTGCCGCCTAGGCTCTACATCGATAATTTTGGCACTTCTGATAAACCTATCTCTTTTGAGCCATTTGCAGGCAGCAGCAGTGGACGCCGTTTCACGTGAACAACGTATTGTGGCACTTTTCGAACAGGCTGGCTTTCAAGAAGATCCGTTTTTACGTGAATTCGGATTGCGCATCAATCCAGAGATGTGTGAAACAACTGCTCGCGTTCTCACGCCACCACGTATTCTTTTCGGTGAAAATAACCGACGTGCCGACCCGATAGTGATACCAAAAGACGGCGCCTGGTCAATGGATAATCAACAACTGTATGTGCCAGCAAGCTGCAAAAGCTTTTCGATGATTGCACTAGTCGATCCGCGTGAACAGAATCAGCTCCAGTATGTTTTTGTGTTTGAAATAATTTATGTTTGAAATAACCTTAACATTCCGTATAAATGAAAATTAGAAACACTGCACACACCATACACTCGACGAGAAGGGACAACTTTGAAGAGCTTAAAACATACTAATTCATTTGATTATTTTCTATTTTATATACATATATATATATATATCACTCAAATCTTTATTAGACGAAAATGAAAAAAAGGTAGAAAAAAAAACCTCTTTTTGCATTAGGAGATGCCCGTCCTTCTCCATCCCCTCTCCTTCCCCGTCACGAAAAACCCGCAAAAAGCCGGCCAAAAAGAAAAAGATAGGAACTGCCTATGGAAGGCTGAGAAGGAAAGAAAGGTGATTCTGCCTTGAAAGAAGATATATACAGTGAATGTGCTGCCAGGCTATAATGTGGTGACAAGGGCTGATGGCGTAGTGGTAAAACGTTGCATTCGGATACGATGAGAAGTGGTCCTGAATAATTTCTCCGGTCCTGAATAATTTCTGAGAAAGGACTCTGTTCACGACTAAGTCTCTCCTTCCCCTCCCTCTCTTTCCTTCTCGTACCTCCCTGCCCTCCCGCTTCCAATCCCTCTGAATTCTCTTGTGGTCTGAGGCCAGCATTACAAGAATATGTTGCAATCTGTTCCGTTAGGCAGGAGAAAAAGCTTTATCAACATTACAGAGGCAGGAACAAGTGTTTCATGACGCGACTTTTGTCTTAATGTGATGCTGTAAACTATACATTATATAACATAACTCCTGCAACCTCTGGTTTAGATCGTTTTGCCAAGCAATCGCTCAGAAGGCTTGTCAGATGGGAATGAAATTCCCGAGCTGGCCGGATCTCGTCAAATACGGTCGTACAAAGGAGGACGTCTTCATGCTGTTCAATGAAATTGCCACCGAATATGAGCAAACCGGCACAATCTGTGATCTGATTATCGTCGTAATGCCTTGCAAGAACGCTGACATCTATAGTGCGCCTTTTTCACTGTTAAATTTCCCAGTTTTTTTTTAAATCTCAGATTTTTGATTTTCTCATTCTAAATCGTTTGATTTTTCGGCTAAAAACCATGACCAAAGCACATCAGAG